GATATGATATCACTTCAAGATCAACTGGAAACCAAGAACGTTACGGTGAGTGCTTGATAATTGATCAAAGATCTGAAGTTTAAGACTCTATTCCTACATAGGATTATAGATATATATTCATGAAGAGTCTTAAACTAATGGATAGTGTTTAAGGGTAAATTGCTCATCAGAACGACAGGTCAAATATTTCGACTTTTTGTAATACTTTAGTAGCATTTAGCTGTTAATGACATCAATTTTGTGACTTGTCATATTAATATATTTTTCTTGTAAATGAATTTGACATTCTTTACGAAAATGAAAATGAATGATCGTATTGAAAAGCTTCAGTCAGTTATATTATCTTGAATGATCACCTAACTAGTCAGTTCATTTCTAGATATCACTATTAGGAATTATTAAACATAATAAGAAATATTCCTCTATCTAAAATTTACTTTTAGAGAAGATGGTGTTCCAGTGAATTGACCAATTCTATCGAATCTAATACATTAAACCTGTTTTATGAATATATAAAACCTCAGGATCCGAAAAAATTCAAAAATATTATCTAAACAGCTACTTCGTTTTATAAATTCACGATGGATTTCACTGGTCTGCTAAATTAAACAATGAGCATAGTGATTTTAGTAATGATCAGATACATTTATAAATATGTTGGGCCATCATGGGTAAGATTATTACTGGTTGAAGTTTGATTGTTAAAGGAAGTTACAATGAACTAACGAACAAATATGAATATAATATTAAATGATCAAGTAAGGACACTAAATCAGAAATAGTAGCTGTAAACCTTGAAGTTCCCTAGTCTATGTCTGACATCATAAAGAGGGTTGGATTTCTGTCAATTTAATAGCAAAATGATGATTAGCCCGATGACTTTTATATATAGTCCATTCTAATATATATTCTACACTATGTTCTCTAGATATATATCTACATCAGTCTTTCAGATGGTGAGGAAACGAACAACTAGCTTTTTTTATTAGATGTATTTTTAAGTAAACGAGAAAACGGTTCGATGAAACTATCCATTTTCAGGAAACCAAATAGGACAGGCAAGTACCTTATTGTTTATAGTTAGTGCCCAGTAAAATAAGAACGGGGATAATTAAGAAGCCTTTCCAACAGAATTAATCGACGCTATTGATGACGATATTAGGTTGTTATACAATGGAAAATAGCCATCCTCTAAAATCCATAAATAGATGGCAAGATCAAAGTATAATGAAACCTACTATAGCCTTGGCACAAAAATGTCCAACTACATCACCTTACCGTTTGGATTTGATCCGAATAGCCTTTTATCAAAAAAAGCTTAAATCAGTTATTAACTAAACGTAGTACGTACTTACGGTCATTACCATAAAAAAACAAGGTCTGTGATTAACCAAAAACCTAGAAGACACGAAAACGATTGTATCACATCTCACTGTGCATATCAATTTAAATGTATTTGTTACCACAGATACATAGGGAGGAGTAATCGTGATCTCCAAGTTAGGGTTTCTGAACATGTACCTAAGTGCCTGAAGAAACAATAAGAATAGATGATAAACATTCACCATCCTCTATTGGTGAACATATAATTGAAACGGATCATAAGATTGATTTCAACACGACTTTTGTGGTGTTCTACAAAAGTGTAAAAGGGTATGCAAGGTTTATTGAAGCCTTAGCCGTACGAAAATTCAAATCCTCTTTGTTTATTCAAAAATAGTTTATTCTCACCTTAAACCTACCCTAGTAATATTAGCTTATTATCCAAAGTGATGAGATTTCTAATCATTTTCACATTATTTTCTTTATTATCCGTGTCTCCTGTTACTCTCCATTTCTAGTCTAGTCAACCTTTTTTTACTTATATATTCTTAACAAGTATGTGTATGATTAGATTTTTTTATATGTATTGCGCTAATATATGTCACATAGTCCTGATAAACTTTGTCTTCTTATTACACAATCTAACTTTATCAAACGAACTAAGTACTTCAAATAAACAGTGATCAATAAACAAGGAAAATTTTCAAGATGGCAGATGTTTTCCAACCTAATAGTTTTATACCATATACCTTATATTTATCATAATGATTTCATATTTCACTAATAAATTTAAATAAGTAGCATATTTCAGTCACTATATAGTCTTGAACATATAGAACACTCATGTACACAATGTACAAATAAACAATGTTTTTTCATATAATTATCAGTCATTTGAATTTAGCATAGAATTATTTATTTTCTAATCTATTACTATTAAAATGGATACTAAATCATTTCTTCAATACCTAAAGTATAATTAACATAGCTTCAACTGACTCATGATCATAACCATTAAAATTACTATAATATCCACAAAAAACCCATCTGATATTAATCAACATATGCTCACTAGTGATCGGCTTCACGAGGTATATCCTGGAGCTCTAGTGAGAAGTAGTGACCAGTGGAGTTCAACCAGGTCTGTTGTGAAATAGTAACTCACTGATGACAATGGCGGATATGTCGCTCAATTTCGTGGATTAGTTGAAGTTAGACATTAACACCGTTGGATACCGACAAGCTCAGTGATCTAGTGGTTAAGTGCTAGCGCGCGAAACAAATATGTCCTGGGTTCGGATCTCGCAAGAGGCGAGGTCGTGGATGAGCACTGTTGAGGAGTCCCACAATAAGACGAAATGGCCTGAAATGACTCATGATCTTAACCATTGAAAGTAAATTGATTCTGTTACTAGCTAATTGACAACTCGTCAATCAATCAATTTTTTTGTTCCATAAAATTAGTAGAACACAACAACAAAAATGAGAGAATAAATAAAAAAGAAAGATAAGAATATACATTCAAGCCTATGAATAACTTATCTAGCTACTTAATCAACGAATGAATGAATGAATCATTTAATTACTTACTTATTATTATTATTATTGTTAATAGTGAAGTAATTAAAAAATCATTCCATATAAACACATTACATTCTATTTATTTATTTATTTTAAATAATAAAAAAAGAAAGAGAAAAGAAAAGAAACAAAAATCTAGTTATCAACAGATGATCTATGTTGTTTTAATTTGTAAATAATTTAAATCTGTTGATTTCTGAAAAGAAAATAATCATCATCATCATCATCATTATCATCATAATGGCAATTACTTTAATTATATTAAAAACTTAACAATCAAATTAATACTCCATTATTGTTATTGTTATTATTAAAAGTTTTATATTGTATCTCACTTTCATAAACATATTTTATAATATGATTATTGATTTTATGACAATTAATAAGAATCATTTTAATTGACCTATATTATTTATTGATTAATGATTGATTATATAGAAAAACAAAACAAAAACATAATGATCCATTTATTTAAGTGTTGATTTGATTGATCTAATCGATATTATTAATCTGTTGATGAAATTGATTACAAAAAAGAAAAAGGCACTTGATAAGTATAATCATTCTAATGAGAATCAATAAATGAATGATATAGATAAACAATTTTTGTTTTGTGAGTGTGTGTGTGTGTGTATTGTCTGTTTGTTTTGTTTTAATAATTACGATCCTTCTGTCAAATAAATTGTATACAAAATGACTATACATTTAAATGACAATTGATTTAATCATTACACAATGAATAATATTGAAATATTTTTTGTAATTAATTATAGTGAAAACAATAAAATTCTTTTATTTCATAAAAGTAATCAAAGATTCCATGCATAATTCACCATGGTATTCTGTTTTGTTTTGTTTGTTTATTTTTCTATTTTATAGTATCATGTTCAATATTATGAAGAAATTAAAAATAACAAATATGGCATCCTATTGTAAGTTGTGTTGTTGTTTGTTGTTTGTTGTAAAATATATGTGTACTTGTCTAATAACGCTATTATGAAACTACTGTGCAAAATTGTTTCTATGCATATATGTTGTTTTAAAATTGAAAAAAAAATTTGGATGGAATCAATTACGTTTATTTTTAAATATTATAATATATACTATGTTAATGAGACATTCAGTACTATTGAATAATCTCTTCATCTATGAATGTCTATGCGTAATATATATATATATATATATATATATATATATATATATATATATATATATATATATATATATATATATATATATATATGCGTATGTTACTGTAAATAAAAGATGATAGTATCAGATTTTCATTGTATGTTAATAATTGACAAAGGCAATCATACCGGCCAATAATTCCGCGGAAATCCTTTTCCATATCAATATGTGTATATATATATTTAGATATAATTAGATACAATATTTGCATTCATATGGATCGTTTTTGTAATGTGAAATAAAATAAAACAAATTTGGAATTAAGTACTTTTATTATTATTATTATTAGTATTATTAGTATCAGTATTATTATTATTAACAATAATTGTTACCATAAAATAAAATAAACATTAAAGTGAGTACACAATGACAAAACCAGGAAATAGTGATTATTCTTTTGATATGTTTTATCACTTACCATTGAAATGGTTTGTTTCAATTAGTGAAGTTAAGATAAATTTGTATCATCGACGGTTAGCAATACTTCTGTATATTAATCAGTACCTTTTTGAGACATAATATTTATTACTATTATTATCATTATTATTATACCCGTTATAAATCGCCATAAAACAATGAAACAGTAATAGATGTCAATGACTTTTATGTAGTTTATACTGTAGAATATACATTAATATAATAATTATATGCAGTCAGCATTCGTGCTAATTAAACACCGGAAGAAACAAATTTTAATTACATTCCAAATGTATTCATAAACATATCAAATCTATTCAATATATCAATTCATTATTATTTTCAAATCATCATATGAGAATGCAATACAATTCCTATTACATAACATGCAAATTTAATAAATAATCAATATTAAACTTTGAGAATTGTTAAGAAAAAATAAAAAAAACAAAAAAAAAAACAAAATTAAATTAAATTTTCATTAATATTTAATATGGTATTATTCTTGATCTCCTTGTCAACCGATGAGTAGATTTCAATTTTAAATTTAATTGATTATCATCTTCATAAATTGGTTGAAAATAATTCATTGTTTGTTCATTTAAATTTGATGATAAATGTTCTTTTAATAATAATAATGATGATAATGATGAATTCATATATGATGTATTTGTAGTATTCATTGGTATATTTGATTCCATTAAACTATAATCCATATGTTCACATGTATTTTTCAATGGTGATAAATATATTTTATTATTATTTTCAATATGTTTATTAAATGAATGAATAATTAAATTATTTTTAGTCATTAAAGCAGTTGCAGCTGAGGCTAATTGTACATTAAATGCCCACATTTCACGATGTATTGCAATACTGATTTTTAATGTTTTTTTTATATATTTATATTATTTCACAGTTATTAGATAAGGTTAACAAGCGTTGAAGGGTATTCAAGTTTATTTTTTATATGTAATTAATATATATTGTTGATGATATAGTTTTTCAATATGATGTCATGTAGCATTAATGTGTATATAAGTAGTTGAGTGTATATGTTTGGATGGATGTAAGCGACAGAGAGCCAGATAGAGAAAGAGGGAGAGAGTCAATGAGTAAATTTGAAAGATCAACATGCATGACATTTTGAAAATAGAAATTATCAGTATTATGATCAGTAGTCATAGTAGTAGAATGAATAAAAGTGAAATGTGAGTGTAGTGGGAAAAAAAAAGAAAAAAAAGTACTGCAAATAATTACGTGCATAAATAATGATGAATTCATCATGCAATTCGATGTGTAGTACAACTAAACATGCATTAAAATTCAAGAAAAATCTAAATCTAGATAGACTAGGTAATTAATTATACTTTCAATTTCATTTGTGCCCAACAACCAAAAAAAAAATAGCATTCGATTCAATTACATCATAGATGTCAGAATACAGTTGTTGAGAGTAATGCATTAATTAGTCACTTAACAAATAAAATCTGCGTACATTAATCAAACATTTTTCTTTAAAAAAACATTTTTGACAATCATGATGACTATTCATTAGGAAAAATATTTTTAGTCAAAACATTGAGTTGTGTCAATTTAGTGAAATGAAGTATTTATGAAGGGATACTCTAGCTTCAATTGACTCATGATCTCAACTGTTTAAATTACTACAATCTCCACAAAACCTCTTCTGATACTAATCAACATGTGCTCACTAGTGTCTGGTTTCAAGATATATATTCTGGAGTTCGAGTGAGAAGCAGTGACCAATGGAGTTCAACCGTGTCAGTTGTGAGGTAGTAACTCACTGATGACAATGGTGGATGTATCACTCAATCTCATGGATTACTTGAAGTTATACATTAACACCGCTGGATGCTTGCTCAGTGGTCTAGTTGGTTAAGCGTCTGGCCCGAGACTGATAGATCCTAGGTTCGCATCTGGCGAGGCGGGGTCGTGGATCCGCAATGATGTGGAGTCCCACAATAGGACGGAACGGTCGTCCAGTGCTTCCAGGTTTTCCATGTCGGTCTAGCTTCAATTGACTCATGATCTCACCTGTTTGAAGGATACTCTAAGGTTTACGTAATCTAAATACCTATTGTATTATTTCAAGTATTAAATTCATTCTGTAAATTTGTTAGGTTTAATGGTATTTGATTGAAGTTTCAGGTACAATATTTTCAATAGTAGTACTGAATAAGATAAATTTCTTTAGGAAGTCTACAGAATTCTATTTGGTTCAAGTTATTATCTAAAATAAAAGCGTTTGTGCTACTTACAGAACCTAGTCTTATGTTTGCATTGATACAGTAACTGTTCCTTGATATTTAATCTTACAATTTGTTAATTTTTGCATATTACCTATTATTCTTTACTGTTCTCCATTATTCTTTCTCGGGATTTTGTCAAAAGACTTTGCTGTATTACGGAAAATGCTAAAGACAGTTAGCGGAGTGTGTGGTAAATCTTTTGAGGTCATTATTAATATGGTTGTGGATAGACATCTAAAGTCATGCAAACTCCTGATAGGTATTATTTTATCAGGTACTAATTATACCCTTTATTCTTATCTTTCTCCTTGTATACCTTTTTGATAGGACGAGACCTCAGTACATTAAAATTCATGCACACAAGCAAATGTACAATACCGTATCTGGCAAATATATTCTGTGATGAACATGTTGTTAGAGTTGACCTGGTCAATAACTTGTATTCTTAAACATGTTTCTAATTGAAAAATTGTACAGGTTCACCTTTTTCTTTTCCTTCCCTTGTTTTTGTACAAGAAACTTGTTGAAATACCTCTTGCTCAGAACTCTATATTGTACCAGTATTTAATATTGAATAAAACCATTAATAATAGTAATAATATTGGGAAATTTATGATGACTCACTTTAAGATTTCAAGTGACTAGTCAATTTTCATATTCGATATGTTTATCAGCACCCATTTTACTGAATATATATAGCACTGTGGATATATTATACTGAGTAGCCTAGCAAATAACTATAGAATGCTAAATTCCAGATGATGGGCTTACGCGTCAAGAGGGAACCGCTTGTAGATAGAAAGCTTAATGTAAATCTAAACGTAAGTCATGTATCATAGTGTAATACAGAACTTGATATAAAGTTATTTGAACTTTTTTATGTTCAAATATTCAATTTTCACTGTGAGTAAATAATATTTAGATTAAGAAACAGTTAATAAGTGAAGAATGAAAGAAGGGGAGAAGAATGAGAGATGTGAACACTAACCTGCTGTTTATAAGGAACTGAGCTAAATTTACTGAATCCAACTTTCCAGAAACTGTTATTTTTCTTTCTTTTGCACCATCTTCACAGTTGGATATTTTGATTTGTGCTTTAGATGCGTTTCTAATTTCATTGATTGTTGTACCACCACGTCCAATAATACAACCGATTACATCATTAGAAATAATCATCTCTCGGACAATAATACTCTCTTCTGTATTAGCCAAAGAGAATAATGAATTTTGTTGTTGAGGATTTAAAATTGTATTGATTGACAGGGATGGAAGACCAAGTAAAGATGCTGTATTTTGTAGACCACAAATTGATTTTATGGGATCTATTGGAGTTGAAAGTGATGTATAATTATTATTTGAGTCAATAGGTAATGAACCATTACAGATGGATAAATTATTTGGCGAGGCATTGTTACTATTATTATTCATGCATATATCAGATTGATTAACAATTATATCACTAAGACTGTTAGATGTTGATGTTGTAAATTGATCTTCAGGCAGTCTATTTGATATTTTAAGAAGAGCTGTAGGTGAAGAAAACATATAGTTATTAGGTGAACCAACAATTGGTAAAGCAGCAGCTGTTGGATTTGGGTAACAACCAAGTATACCAGGAGTAAGAGCTATTTCTGGCATGTTCAAAGGTTGTCCAATGGAATGCATCCCAGTTGCAATTGGATTTGTATTTGGTAATGGAGCCAAAATCGATGAAAAATATGATTGAAAGTTAGCTAAATCTAATTGATTCAATGTAGCAAACAAATGAACTTGATCTATAAACAAAAAAAAGAAGAAGAAAATTTATTGTACGATGAAAAACAATGTTGTATGAAACCCTTGTACAATTTCAAGTATTAGGTAAGCATAATTTAAAATATTACTAGACGTAAACCATAGTAACTAACTTTTTGGCATTGTATGCTGGGTCAACCATTATATGAAATATTTTTACAAGGAAATCTGACATAAAAGATTATTCTATGCAGTAGTATAAACAATGAACATTATTTATTATATTTTTGTTGCAGGGAACAATATGATTTAAATTATCATTGATACATAAATATCCCCCCTTTAGTTTTTTAGTGTTAATTAACTATTATTGAAAACAACAAATATCTGAAGTATAATAATTCATAAAACTATACTAGAATTATTGAAAACAATTCCGTTAGTAACATTATTCTTTCCAAAGAATACTTGGAATCATCTAAAAAAAAGGAGACTACATTAAGCCAATTTAAACTAGTTTGTTGCCATACGATGTTTATTGATGTATGGCAGCATAAACATCCTAATTTGAAGAAATTTACAAAACTATCAATATACCTGAATGAATATTCTTATATTGACTTATATTTCTTGATTTAATTCAGAATGCTTTAAGGCAATAATAAACATTTTATTTATGTTACTTAATGTGAAAAATTGGTATCTATTGTGATAGATATGCATACAACTTTGTTACAACCGGAACGCAATAAATGAATGGTAACCGTTGGGAACTATTTATGGACTAATATGATACATACATTCCTAATATATAACTGTCAAGTGACTAAACCATATATATATTCCTCTTATTACAAGCTCTTAATTAATCTATTGATTAATGGCATATGATTTACTATTCTCAAGTTATTTTTAATCAATAAGATACAGTTTCTCATAATCACAACCTCTTTTTGTCTTGATTTTGTACAATTATTATTTTCTATTTTATGGTATGATGTAGTCTGATTTGTTTGTATATAAACCCAGTATGTTTGAAATATATGATTTGTATCACAAACGCTGAAATTAACGTTCTGAACTTAACATGTAGGACTAAGCAGAAAAAGGACCAATCGGAACTCTTGTTTTCTGGTACTCGTGCATGCATCGTATAAGTCAGCGTATTTTATTTCACAATGTCGTAGAGCTAAAGACATAATAAACTTGTTATACATTCTATCATATTACTTAAAGTTTATGGATCTTATAACTAGTTCTAAAGTGTTTATTAATTGCAAAATTGTAAATAGTTATTCAGGAGTTCTTGTTAAGCATCTAACTATGTATATATGCACCAGAATATCAAGAGGGTGCAAGTATTTATAAATAACTGTCTACGCAAGATACTCAACATCCATTGGCCGGATACCATCAGCAACAGCCTTCTCTGGGAGTGAACAAACCAGCTTCCAGCTGAAGAGGGAATTAGGAAAAGAAGATGGAAATGGATAGAACATACACTACACAAATCGTCAAGCTGCATCACGAGACAAGCCTTAACTTGGAATCTTGAAGGAAAGCGGAAAATAGGACGACCAAAGAACACATTACGTCGAAAATAAGGGCAGATATGGAAAGGATGAAATACAACTGGAAGGAGCTAGAATAGATTTCCCAGGACAGGGTTGGATGGCGAATGGTGGTGAGCGGCCTATGTTCCTTCACGAGGAGTGACAGGCATAAGTAAGTAATACACCAGAATATTAAGTCACATGGATTATTGACAAGATGATTGACATGTTTGAAAGAATCTAAATAATCCCAAAGTATTAAGCAACACAAAACTAATAATAACTTGGAAATTAATCATGATTTTTTTTCTTAGAAAAAATAAAACTTCTATTTCTATTAGATCTCAATGAATTAATAATAGAATTTATAATAGACAACAGAAGAAAAAGTCGAAGGATTTCACTTGTTCAAATATCTAGATAAATCAAATGTGTAAACAACAGGTGAATGGATAATCATATAAACTGTCTACTTTACTTAGTTTGATTATTTAGTTTCTTGTTAAAATTAAGATATAAAACAAAATTGTAGCAAATATAGAAACAAAAGCAAGAAAGAAAAAAAAACGCACAAATAAGGCACATTATTCATGTATTATACACCAATGAACAGGAATATAAACAGACAGATATGATTGTATAGAGATGCTACTTTTAGAATTCAAATAGATCGAATATGTATTTTATATATATTTTTTAATAAAATAGAAATAAAAAAGATTTTTAATCAAAATACCTGGCAAATTAATCTTAAATATTTTCTTTATTCATTTTTTTTTCAATTTTATACATGGTAACAATATAATTTAATGAATGAGCCAATCAGAATTAAGATAGAGAATTTTTGAATTTTCGCGTAAAATTTGTTTATTCATATGACTAGACAACATTTTGTAATTATAGTTGAGGTTGATTGGTAATAAAAATTTTAAGTCTAATTCTTTTTTTTTTTACATGAATTAACTCTAGTAGGTGGGTAAATTTTCATAAGGTTACTTTGACGTCTCTGAACGATCGCATATAAATTATAGTCTCACCTTAAGCATGAGTAGATAGTATGTAATTATAAAATGATTAGATTTTGTAGTAGTTATAATAAGGAAGTCAAAATCATGGTGATTATTAATGCTGAATATATTGTCGAATTCTGGTTGAGTGTTTAAAAATTCCTGATGAATAGTATAGTTTGAAACATTATTATACATCATTTTTTGTTTAAGAACGACGTTCTCTGAATAACGTCGTAACAAACACAAGCGCAGAAAGGAAAAAATCAGTGGCAGTATTTTATATAATTGGTATTCTCATGAAATTATTAACAAAGAGTTTAGTTTAAGTGATATTCATTGTTTAGAATCTTTTAATATCTTTGATTACATTTTGTAAGTTATTATAGATAATGTCATTTATTCATTGAGTGAAATAATCGACATTTATGAGTGCCATCCTGGATTCGGTGATGAAAAATAAATTTAAACTAAAGATAAATCGCTTTATATTTTCGAAATGCCACCATTCTATGTTGACTCACACAAACTATTATTAGTTAACATAAATAAAGTTACATTGTAAGCAAAGATAGATAGTGTGTAGCAATGAAATCCAGAATGCATGTTTGTTTCTATTTACAATACTTGTGACTTAAGGCAATATCGAGGCGATCCGCAGAGGATACAAATATGCCAATAAAAGACTGGACGATTACAGTTCGAAATATCAATGAGAAGATTCAAACAAATAATACATAAATGAACTAAATATAGTTAGACTTTTAGAAATAATTGATTTTGGAGAGTATTTACCGAATTGGAGGAGATCGTGATTAGAACTTACTTAGAACGAGTTAATTTCATGTAAGTTAATAGCATTAGAATTCCTCAAATCAACTATAATGTTACAAGGATTGTCATTGACAATAAGGAATATTGAGTTTTTGAAAATATTTATTTGTTTTATTATATTCATTACTGTCAATGAATTAATGAGGTAAACATAACTGTTTCATAAAGTGACATACAAAAAATATCCGCTAAAATGTTTCTCATAAATTTAATCAGCTCAGTTATTTATTCGCTATTTAAATTATTGCCAATTGAACACATTCAACAATTAATTCTATTATAATCGGAGAGGGGTTTTGTGGATATGGTGGTAACTTAATGGTTGAATTCATGAATCAACTGAAGTTAGACCACCATGGAAAACCTGGAAGTACTGGACGGCCGTTTCATCCTATTATGAGACTTCTCAGTAGTGCGCATCCACGATCCCGCCTCACGAGATTCGCACCCTGAACCTATCAGGCGCGCACGTGAACGCTTAACCACTAGACCATTGAGCTGGTCGGCATCCAACGATGTTAATATCTAACTTCAACTAATCCACAAAATCGCGCCACCACTTCAGTGAGTTACTACCTTACAACAGATCCAATTGAGCTTCACTAGTCACTACTTCTCACTAGAACCCCAGAAAATGCCTCTTGGAGACTGTCACTAGTGATTAGCAGTCATAATTGATTTTTTTTAAAACACCAAAAAACTATTAAAGTTTCTCAGCTATGATTGAACTATGTTTATGAATAGTTAACTAAATAACAAACAACAAAAAAAAGCAACAGTATATCAATTTGATCTATAATAGTGATTAAATTCAGTTTGATCCTATTGGTTATTAACAAAATGGTTAGAAAAATCTTACACAAGCTGGTTAGACTATTAATTGGTATGATGATTAAGTAATATAACATACTTAATATCTACTTTTTTTATACTGATTTCTGGTTAAACCAAAAAAACAAAACAACAAAGTACACAACAAAAACAAAACAAAATAAAATCTGTTGATGATTTCAAACTCACGTTTCTTTAAGAAATAAAGAAAAAAAAGAAAAGAAAAGAAATTGACCGATATTAGTTACTATCGGAAAAATGTATTTCTGATTAACAACATCTTGTATATTTTTTCAAAAAAAATATCTAATTACTTATATTTTAAATAGTAAACCTATATGATATATATATATATATATATATATATATATATATATATATATATATATATGTTTTTTTTCATCATGTAGTTTGACATTTGAACATGATAAGGAACATTTAAACTTTTGTCATTTACACTTGAATATTTTGTTTAAACTAACAAAAATATTTTAAACCAAAATAACATTTAAACAAAAATAAATTAAAGTTAAATGTACACACACACACATCTTTATATATGTGTGTGTATCTGGGTAAAAATTATGTTACAAACTATTGTCAATTTTTTTCTTCTTATAAAGAATCTACTTTTATACTTTTCTATATAAAACAGTGAACTAAAACAAAGACATTTCTATATGAATGTGTAAATTTTATGCTGAAATTTTTTTTATACAAAATGAAAGTTTACTTTTTTCTCAAACAAAAATAGATAGACGTCTTGTTAGGGATATGAATAATGATAATGATAATGATAGCAGTAAGAAATAATGATTATTCAGTAATTATTTCAAATAATACTTCAATAATAATTGAAATGAAACAGTTTTAATGGTTGAATTCATGAATTAGAAATGTGAAAGTATTGGACGATTGTTTCGTTCTAGTATGTTATGCCTCATCAATGTGCATCTATGATTTCGCATGTGAGATTCAAACTCACAAGGCTTCACATGTACACTATTGAGTTGGTCGGTATCCAACGGTGTTATTGTTCAACGATCTATAATCTTATACAACCATTTATTCATTATGTGAGGTGGATAACTGTTTCACATTGGACACGAAATACAATCTATTGGTTATGGCTTCTCACTTCAATTATAAGAAATCTATCTGGAAACTAGTCACAGAGTTCTATTTACAATTGGTCATTAAAAGTAATCAGTGATAATTGTTCATTTATATAAGTTAAAATTTATTACAAAAATTAAATTAATGTGATCATATAGTAGTAAACTTAATTTTTTTAATAAAATTACCAAACTATCTACATTGTGATATGATGGAAAGAAAAGTCCAGTTTCGATTGATTTACTCATTATGAGTTTTGTTCAAGATTACTTCCATTCTGATTCAATGCAATGATTACTCAATGTAGTATTTGTTTTCTTTTCTCGTATGATATTTTATTCTGTATAATATGCGATATTCTTGTATTCCATTGACATGAACTATGCTCAGTCTGTGATTTGTTGTAACTTTAAGTATGTTTCATATATATGGTTTCATCCTAATGATCAATCAAAATGGGTGTACAATCAATATATAAATGAATGTATTTTCTACTAGAGTCTTCGTCGTTGTGTTTTGGGATTAATTAATCATCACTTATACTAGTCTTTATGTTCTTACTTTCGCGTCATGGGAATTGCAAAGGTCTCTCGTTCTCAGTATAAGTGATAAGCGTTTCTGACATGACAATCAGCGAACACCAGATACAAAATGTAGCATTAAAAGAGCCAAGACAATAAGCATTCAAACGACAATTTATAACACATTGATAACAAATAATAAAGTGAACAGTCATTTAACAAAATGATATATTGTATTATTTTAAAGTAATACTTCTATATTTCTATTAGACATGATTATCAACAGTGATAAAATTATTTTGATTAAAAGTAGAACTGAACAGATGTTCAAGATTATTTGATTGTTTTGTTTTGTAAAAAATATCATCTTTGTTATATTAGGACGAAGAATTAGTGAATAGTAACCGCTGGGATCTGTTTATACATATATATAATGATATAGTGTGATCTGGTTTGTTTGTATATAAACCCAGCATGTCTGAAATACATTATTCATTTGGCGGAGGCTGATATTAGTGTCCTGGACTAAATAGGTTGGGCTAGGCCAGAAGATATTATCTTTGTGGACCGATAAGAACTCAGAGTTGACTCTAGACTGCTCATACAGGTTTACGAGTCATTGGTCTGGTCAATAAGTTATTGTTCTAAATGGTGATCGTATCACGTGATAGTTAACAGATCATAAAGGCGTAACAATTATGGACTAGTCAGTAATTTGAATGCTATTACAAATAATTGGTAATAATGGATTCTAATGTCGATTTCATGAAATATAATTTCAGACTAGCATATAATTCAAATAATTCTCGGTGATTTTGTAGAAAAAAATAGTTTGATAAGAAATGAAATAAGTGAAAGTTGCATTTACTTATATATTATGCAAGAAAATAATAATCATTATCAAAAGACTGAATCCATCGTGTGTTGATCAGTATCTATATATAAACCCTAGACATAATTAAGTAAATAGACTAAAACATACATGGTCATGATTTCATAGTTTTCCGGAACTCTAGAGGTAAATAAATCAAAACTTGAAATAGATTTATATCATTGAAAGGTTTATTTTATTATTAACAAATTATTTCTTTCATTGATCCTGACTTATATTTTTAATATCTAAATATATTAGGCTGTTATTTATATCTTTCATTGACAGTTTTATTAGTTTTATTGATTTTTAATTTTTGATAATATTTATAATAACAGAATAAATGAAATTATTTCCTTACCTGAAATGAGATCTGACATTTGATTAACTGGTCGACCAGAACCAATTACTGTTAGAGGAGATTGAATAGTATTTGCTGTAGGTAGATTAGGTACAATAGATGTATTATTAACACCACATCCAACATTACATGAACCAGATACTCCATTTCCTCCAGATAAAATACCAGATGGTATCCCAAATTGATTTGTATAAGTTCTATTTAAAGTAGTTGGACTAACAGAATTCACTTCGTTTGATAATAACGAGGCTGATGTTAACATTGGTGTAGTATATCCTGATTCATGTGAATTCTTGTTTCAGTAAAATAATGAATAATGAAAGGTAAGAGAATGTAATTGTTAGTCACTTTCAATCTCAATTTCATTAAGAAAGTGAAAAAGAGGTCTATAAAATATAAATAAAACTTAAGTGACCCAATCATGGATCACGAATAAGTGGTAAATTCAGAAATCTTCTTTATCCCTGAATGTAAAGAGCATCGAAATTACATCAATGTTTACTTTTCTTGACTCATTTCAGAACTCACTTCACTCTAAAAGTGTGTTAATAATTCAAACAAACATCATACAAACACAAAAGAATCTTTTTAAATTGAATAAACATTAAAGGTCTTATAAAGTCAGATTTTAAATACCTTCAATAATGTTATAAAGAAATGTTTACATAAATGATTTACAGCAAATCTCAACTTCTTAAACATTGACTATATAAAATGTAATTTTTGGAATTCACCTAAATAACAGCGTTTTAAATTGTTCTTCATTCATATACTCTTATACAACATTTAACAGTCTAAACATTGATTCATAGAACATATTAGGTTAGGACATTACATATATATATACAAAACTGAATACCTAACTTTTTATTATGACTATAGTCAAATGCAAAATAGATTTAAGATTATCCTATTATATTTCATATGTACAAGATAAACGATCTATTCTAAGAAAGAATGTATGTTGTTGAATTTAACGAAGAGATTTAAACAATCACTGTTAAACTTCAAAGAAAACTATTATATCTAAAATAATGTGTAGGCTTTATATCTTCTTCTATCATATTCATTTCTTAAGAATAGTCAAACAATGTAATGTGAATAAAAAAACTAAAACAAACTTCAATTCTTATTCATTCTCTTTTTATAAATATAAGTTTACATTCAAGTGTAAAGTGCACCATTTTTCTTTTTTAGTACAGTTAACGATTAGAATATTCCAGTCAAAAAGTAGTATGATTTATATTTAGTCGCATGTTAAATTTCTTTTATTGAATACAGTATTGAACAATTGAAGAAGAAGAAAGAGAAAGAGATAAAATAAAACAAGAATAATATTCAGCGTCTGATTGATGTTTCCTTATTTATTTGGTTAAATAATATCGAGAGAAATATCATTGATCCATTGAATACAGTAGTAAATGATGTTTAGAGTTAGCTTAAGATATTTTCATGGATTTATTGAAAGCTTCTGAACTTTCAAGCTGTTTATAATTATTCTTCTTCAGTATTTTGTATTCTATTGTTTGAAAATATAAAATAATTATTTATGATTATGGAAGCATGTTTTATAGTTAACTTTAATGATCCGATCAAGTGTTGTCTTTTAAGACTAAGTTTCTATACTCTCTCATTTTATCATTTTACAATTTTTTAGTCTATTGATGATTTCTGTATGATTTTATTAAAGTTTGATGAAGTTTTGTTTTTTGAGCTGGATGGTTTCTGTTGTGCGGCTTTCATCGTTCTTCTGAACGACATTATCAGCACAAACTTCAGTTAGAAGTGAAGTGTTCGAATTTCTCCATATGCGTTTCACAGCTTGTTCTGTACACCTCGACGTTGACAAATTTAAGGTCAATAAGAACTAATCAACGTCTAGGTGTACAGAACAAGCTATGAAACGCATATAGAGAAATTCGAACACTTCACTTGTAACTGAAGTTTGTGCTGATAATGTCGTTCAGAAGAACGATGAACGCTGTACGACCAAACCATCCGGTAGAGAACAAAACTCCATCAAGATCATTCACCTGAGCTACAAATCTCCACCATTTATTAAGGTTTTTCACAGTGTAGAGAAAAAAGAAAGAACCAAATAGTAATAATAACAATGATAATGATAATAATGATGAAGGTTCCTATAATATGTACAAGGTAAAGACATATATATATATATATATATATATATATATATATATATTTCCAATGGATCTTTCTTTGATACTCACTTGACCTAATACACAGTTACTCAAGGTCTTATTTAACTAATGTATGCCTGTCATGACATATACTTTATAAAGATTCTAATATACCAAATTAATAACTATATATATTCGACTTGAAGTTAGAATGTATACTGAAAAGATAATATAGAAAAGCTAGACGTTTCTCTGGTTTAATCGGGATCATTATGTGGAATAGGTTATTTTAAGCTGCATTAAATGTAATACTTCTCCTGATTTCTGAATATTTTAATGCCGTTTACACTTATAAAAACAAAAATCGACTTTAAAAGTTAATGATGATGATGAGTAATTTGGTGGCCACACTTATGAAGCTACAAAAGTTAACAATAACTAATCATATTCAAATGAAGTGATACATTGTTCTAAATATTTCAAAGAAACATGATGAGCAATTTACTTTGAATATTCATTTACAAAACAAATTTCATGTTAACTAACCTCGCACACTGAAAGTGGAAGTCCAGACAAGTTTGAATGAAGTAAACCAGATGAAAATGTAGTGGCAGGACATATTAATCCTGGATTACCAATCACGGGTTTTGGTCGATAAAGAATGACCGGACCTTTATTTGGGCACTGTAAATTGAAAGCGATAACAATGGTTAGTAATACTTTGTTCTTAATAAATGATGTAGAAAACTGCTGTGAAACAAACGACAGACTGAAAAAGCTATTATATTAAAAAAATCTTATTCTGGTCAGTATCCAACGGTTTTAATGTCTAACTTCCATCGATCCATGAATGGATGAGTAACCATTCATCCATTTTCGGAGGTAGATAATTTTCTCTACCCAACACAGATTAGAATCCATTGTTCATGGTTCACTAATTCAACTATTAAAATTACTACGATCTACACTAACTTCATTCTGATAAAGAAACTAAATAATCGTTCAATAAGATCTTATAACTTTCCATTATGAAATTGTGAATTGTATCTTAGATCATTACCCATAGTCCATTACGTATTAATTATTTCGTTTAAAAATCGATATCTTAATTTCTAACTCCACCATAATATATTAAACAGGAAACTTCAAATTGGTTAGGTAAAAATATTTTTGTCAGTGTAATAGTGAACGAACGAAGTGAATTCAAAAAATTAATCACATACCTCTAAAAATATATCACACAATAATCGAATACATTTGGAAATTGCATCCGCTGAACCTGATATTGTAACTGTTCTTTCTGTGGATGTTGGTAAAGCTTCACTAGCAACTTGAATTGATGCACCAGTTAACTAAATGTTTAATGAAAACATGAAATAGCATCAATTCATTTCTGTATTATTTGTTTGAATATTTCCATTGATGGTTAGAACTGCAATTGATCAGTCTCATATTGTCATATATGAATCCTATTTGGATGGCCTCGATATTGCTTCAAGTCACAAACATTATAAACAAAGACAGATAGTGGCTAGTAGTGGAAGCCAAGCTGCCTGTTTCGTTCTACTTGAGATTAGTCAGCTGAATGTACCTGCATCCAATAGTTGATGTTGGTACATCTAGCTGACGAGTTCCAAATAGGACGAAACAGGCTTCCTGGATTTCACTGTTGATCATCATCCATTTTGCTTAAAAAGCTTATGACTTAAGTCAATATCGAGACAACCGTCACCCGATACACATGTGCCAATATGAATTTGATCAATCGCAATCGTAAACAACAATAAGGCGATACAATTAAACAATACTAAGTGAATTTAAGATTAAATCACTTTAAATTTGAAGTATAAGTTAACAACAACAACAACAACTGACATATAAGATTTCCAATTTTATGGCTTATTGACATATGCTTTCAATAATTTCAGTAATAAAAAAAGTAGTATATTCTTAGTTTAACAACCTAGAAGTAGTTGTTGTTTGTTTGTTTTGTTCTTTCAATAAAATACATTTTTCCTATAAGACTATTTTGTTCTAAAAGTTTCTTCTGTTGATTTTAAATCGTTTTTTTTCATCAATGAATAACATTTGATAATTTGCATAATTTATAGTTTATAATGAAAATATATTCATACTATGTAAATCATTCACATCTCTATGACTAATTAAATGAAACGGAACATCATGCAAATCAGCTAATAATAATAATAATAATGATAATTGGGAACAGGAAGTACGAATAGAGTATTCCTGAAAATGTTAGAATTTTGTTTTAAATAAAAAAGAAAAGATTCATTGAACCAAACATTAAGTTGAACAATTTCCTATTTGTATATTGAACGAAATAATTGAATGTAGTTTAATTCTTATACTTGAGATTATTTTACAAATATTGTACATTGAATAGTTGAATAATTATGATTAATATTACATGTTAACTAAATGAAATGATAATTTATGTGACCTAAAATTTCATTCTATTTCCTGAGTTTATTATTTGTTTCTATGATACAGTACAACATTTTTATCTCTTAATAGAATATTGTAGTAATAAATCAAGTCAATTGTAAATATAGTTGAATATTATGTTGTTTTTTTTCATTGAAGAAAATCTTGTCATAAATATTGTATATTTCTTGTGAATAATTGGACAAAATACAAAATGAAGGGAAAAAAATAATAATCCTTTCAAATAGAGTGATCTTATTGACTAATGTCAATATTGACTGAAAATGAGGTTTACAATGTATAATACATATAGATTTGAACATGAAACAAGGTTTGGTTAATTATGGGTGAACACATGATATTTAACATGTTATCTAATAGTTTCTAAGCATGTTAATAAACTAAAAGAGTTTTGTTTTTCTCTACATATATTCAAACATCAGTTATGAATATAAATATTTGAACAGTCAAGAAAACGTTCAACTATAAGATTAGAGATGAAGTAGAAATTGGATACTGATTCGATTTCAATAAAACTTATGTTCTTTAGGTTCTTATCACATAGAAATACTCATAACTAAGGTCCTCTCTAATTAAACGAATAATAACCGATTTGGTTAAACTAATTAAAGCATAAATGGTTGTATCATATTTATTTTTATTTAAGAACTATAACATTAAAAAATTGTGTTTGATACCCCAATTATAGATCGAAAACACCCCATACATGTTATTATCAATTGCGTTTATAAATTTGTGTGTAACTGCCAAAAATAGCTACATTGTTCAAACAGGAAAGAAGGCATTTTGTAGATATTTTTTACATGTTACAAAACATTTTCAAAGAAATGAGAGAACTACTTAAACAGCGCAGTTACTAAACATATCTTGAATACAGGACATCAGGTTGATACCTTATAATCTTTCAAGATGATTAATAAACAACCAAGCTTCGGTCTTCTGAAGTTTATTGGAGCCTGTTCTATCAGGTGTAATACAACTGATTTATGTGTTTAAAAGGAGGTGGTTTTTAGTCGTTCTTTGCCTTGATGACAAGTATTCCTTCATTACTTACTTACTTACTTACTTATGCCTGTTACTCCTCGTGAGGGAGCATAGGCCGCCACCAGCATTCTCTATCCAACCCTGTCCTGGGCAATCCTTTCTAGCTCCGTCCAGTTGTAATTCATCGTTTTCATATCCAAATATTCCTTCATTACATCATAAAATTTAGTTCAACTCTTTCCTTCAATCAGTTACATGATTAAGTCTTTTTATTTAAACTGTCTTCTAATTCAGTAATCTTATTTTAATTAACTGAGCTTAACTCATTTTATTCTTACTTATTATCGACGTTTACTCTATACGTAACGAATTGTTTCCAGCTCTTTGTACTTTGTTACTATCAATGTTGTAGAATATTCTTTTACATAAGGTATTTATTTGCAGTGTCTTGTTCAATCTATTAGATTTATTTGTATCCTTTTCTGTACTTACTAGTGTGTCTTCAAAGCAACATTCAACTAAATTGCCTGATATAAGTAATTTAACTCTATTTTGTAGTTAGGAATTTTAAGTATCGCAGTTGTAAGCAGGTGATGGGAAGGAACTGAAATAAAATGAATTCACGCTGACTTTGATCTCTTTATAATACTTATAAACATTACTAACATTTTATTTAACTCGCTCATTCAACAATACTCCATGTTATATGCATTTCAAAAACATCTGATTGTTTTGTTATTAAGTAAATATCGATTTGTCTTTAGGTTCAGTTCAGTTAACATAACGACACTGTCGAATAAGGACAGATTATGAACTGATTTCTAACCAGAAGAGTATTGAAAACCAAGGGACAAGATTAACTATTATTTCATATGACTTCACAAATAGATAAACTTTATTTATCAGTGCAAATTTCGACATTTAGACCCAAATAACAGGTGTAAGAGTGTAAATTATAAATTTCAGTTCTCAAGGGTTTCATAAGATATAAGAAATTTTAGCATTATGGTATATCGTCAATGATGCATATCATTTTACTATCTAAAGAAGAAGTGACCTGGAATAAACATATTTGAATTTTGGTGAAAAGTTTTCATTTTTAATGAAATTAATAGATCAAATGAATAATGTATAACACTGGTTATTAAAAAAATGAATATAACAACAAAAAATGAAGAATGGGTAGACATTTTAGCGACTTAAATAAAATTGTAATGAACATTTCAATTAAATAAATGTAATGTTATACTTAATATACACAAAAGGAAAAGCAAGATTCTCCGATACAACACAGCATGCACCAATCCAATCACAATTGACGGAGAAGATTTGGAAGATGTAAAAACCTTTACATAATTGTGCAGCATCATGGTGGATCTGATGCAGATGTGAAGGCGTGGATTGGTAAAGAAAGAGCAGTATATTTACAACTCAAAGACATCTGGAACTCAAAACAACTATCAACCAACATCAAGGTCAGGATTTTCAATGCAAATGTCAGGAAAGTTCTACTTTATGAGACGGAAACCTGGAGAACTACGAAAGCCATCATCCAGAACATACAGGTGTTTATTAACAGTTGTCTATGCAAAATACTTCAGGTCCGTTGGCCGGACACTATTAGCAACAACGTACTGTGGGAGATAAATAACCAGATCCCAGTGGAGGAAGAAATCAGGAAGAAGTGCTTGAAGTGGATAGGGCACACATTGAGGAAGGCACCCAACTGAGTCACAAGACAAGCCCTCCATTGGAATACTCAAGGTCAAAGGAAAAGAGGAAGACCAAAATACACATTTCGCCGAGAAATGGAGATAGACATGAGAAAAATGAACAAGAATTGGATAGAACTAGAAAAGAAAGCTGAGGACAGAGTTGGTTGGAGAATGCTGTTCGGCGGCCTATGCTCCATTAGGAGTTACAGGCGTAAGTATGTAAGTGTTATACTTGTTATAATAATGTATTGCATTTGCCTATTATATCTTTAAGTGTTTGATTTTGAATCATACACAACGTCTTGGCTAACCGAACCATCCACGATGTCCAAACACAAAGAAAAATAATAAAAATCGCAATATAAAGTAATAACTATTATCACAATTTATCCACAAAATGGAACTCACTAAAACCTAATCAAATGAGATGAGAATATCAAGAAATAGACAATATATCACAAAATGCAATTCACTATCTTACCTCACGAACATCTTTAATCTTGGATCCTCCTTTACCAATTATTGAACCGCATTGAGCTACTGGAACCAATAAACGTATGGTCACTGGAGGACAATTGACCGTTTCATCACCCATTCGTAATAAACCTTGTGTAAAATCCTAAAAGTTTCACAAAAATATGTATTTCAATATTTTATCAGAAATTTTAAAGAGGGAATTGTTATTGTTGTTCTTCCTTCAAATGATGTTAGTTAAAATACAGAAAAAAACCATGACATTTTGGTATTATATCTATGGAAGACCATCATAGATTATCAAACATTATATAGCACTCATTCAAACAAGCATATTATAATAGGTAATGATAATTAAAGTGGGACTTTACATTTGCAGGATGATGAAATAAGTTTACATGATCCCACTTCTGTTACAATTGCTTTTAATAGCAATAAATTCTATCTACATTTTTGTCAAATAACAAATGCTTACATTCATTGTGCTACATAACTTTGTACAAGATCGTTTATTATTTTTTCTTGTGAAGCAAATAAACATGTGGAATTCTTAGCATCCGTTTTCACCTCTTGTCCATTTCTATCATTGAAATTTACTAAAATATTTAGCTGAAGTTTTTAAGACTATTGATTAACCACTTATTAACTTTTACTCACAGATAATGCTACCAGAACATATTACAAAATATCATTTTATACGTGAAGGTGGCCTGATTAAATATCTGGACTATCTGTACCTGCAATCTGGATATTTCAACAAGTTATCTGTTGTCTTATTTGTCTTAACACATCATTATATCTACTAGTCACAAAATGTACTGAGATGTGTTTGTGAAAAATTTACGATATTTCGCTGTACTAGTTACAAAAGAACCCAATCAGAGACACCGTGGTTGCTGGCAATATACGTCGAAAAGAATGTACATTAATCAGATGATGAATCGTAAACTGTTAGCTCACTCAGTGAATATTTATCGTCAGGATCGATGAAGAAATAAGAAGAGGAATTGTTATGGTTCGTTATAGCTTGAATGCTATTACTGATGCGTCTTACTCGAACGGAACGAAGGATCAATGATTCAGTGACTCGATAGCTATTCTGATTCGTTGTCCCCAACTCTGCTAACTCGATCAAGAAGTGTGAGCAAGGTGTAGAAAGGTGTATTCTACATTCAAACAGCAGATGACAAGTCAAGCACACAAATCAAGCGTATTTATACAAATATTTACAATCGGTATTGTCATAGAAAACTTTTAAACAATAATCAATGAGTTCATCAATTGACCTATTTGCACATATAATCGATAGGTTCATCAACTGACTGCCATTCAAATATTTAATCGATAAGTTCATCAATTGACCCCAATACAAATATTTAAACATTTAATCAATAAGTCGATCGATAAGATAAAGTTTAAAAATATGAGTTTGGGGATATATCGTCTCCAACAAGAATCTTGTTGTATTACATTGTTCTGAGAATTTTATGTTGTACTAAAGCCACTAATAATAATAATAATAAAAGTAATTGATCTAGTAAAGATCTCTAATTAAGTCAAATATTATCAAATACATTTTGCTTACATCTTCAAATTTACGACTCATTAGTGTAAATGCAACATAAATTTGTTCTGTTGTTCCAGTTATTGTGACAATTCTTTCTGGACTAGATCCATCTGATATATTAATTCTGGCTCCACTCTGTAATAATTCAGTACAAGACAAACAAATAAACAAAACTGAAATGAAAAAGATAGATGATTTATTAAAGAACATTTATGTAGCTATAATAATGAAGTCAGTAAGTTGTCTAACCTCTGTCAATAATATTTATATTAGGTATTTGAATATGGATGACCATGAATATATAAGGCAAAGCTAACACTGAAAACAACTTATATTCCTTCGTTGTATAGGCTATAGTACATACTGAAGATTATGGTTAATACAGTCCATAAGAACAAGATGTAATCTAAAAGTCGAACATTATAAATAAAATAATAATAGTAAGTTGAAAAATAAATCCTACTTTGAATGGTAACGATTCTTTATCATTCATTCGAATCTCCTGTAATTATTTACAACATATCATTGTTGGTACTTTCAAGCTTATCTATAGTCTGTCTAAAGGAATCTGTCCTATCATTTTTCATGAATGTTTTTACATACCATAATACAACATATTTATCGAACAATATTTGTAACTGTCAGAAGGCAATTATAGAGATTGCTTAACTTATTTGAAATCACTAACCGTTTCGGGTTTGTAAAACATACCCATTGAAAACATTGGAAACTGTACAGTTATACAATATTGTTGACTGATCAAAATTCCACTCAAATACTATCAGAACTTCGTTCAGTTGTTTAAAGGTTAACGATTCATGCGTATGATCTAAGGTCTTGAGTTTATTTCAATTTCATAGCATGAACATTTCAGACTACAAAACCAAAATAATGTATATTTATCTTTTGTAACTAATAAGATTTTCAACAGTTATTTGTTTAAGTCAATATCTAAATCCACATGTAACACATTTAAACATTTAAAGCATTCACATTCTTATAGATAGAATTTTCACAAACTTACTTCCTCTCTATATTTTCTCACATTTTCTCCTCTCTGAAACAAGAAAACATATATCAAAGATGAAATCATATATATATATATATTACTTATTTGACTACTGATTCAAACAATAACTTCATATATTCATGAAATTATTCATTTGATATATGTATATAATCTTTATTAAACCTTTAATTGTCATTTGGACAATCATAATTTATATATATATATATATATATATATATATATATATATATATATATATATATATATATATATATATACCAAAAACAAATATGTCATTTTAACAGTTGAAATCATGAGTCGATTAAAGTTAGACTACTATGAAGAACTTGGAAGTACTGTACGCCTATTTCGTCCTATGATGGGACTACTCAGATTTAGATGATATATATCTGGAATGATCTTATTAATGGGGAAGGGTAAAAACAAAAAAGGATTTTTCTTTTCAGAATGGGTTTTGTGGAGATTTTAGAAGTTTCACAGATTGAAATAATGAGTCAGTTGAAGCTAGACCACCGTTGAAAACCTAGAAGCCGTCACCGGTGGAGTTCAACCAGGTCTGTTGTGAGATAACAACTCACTGAAGACGATGGTGTACGGTGGTGCAACTTTGTGGATTGGTTGAAGTTAGACATTAACACCGTTGGATGCCGGCTCAGTGGTCTAGTGGTTAAGTAATCGCGTGCGAAGCCAGTAGGTCCTGGGTTCTAGCCCCGCGTGGTGCGGGATCGTGGATGCGGACTGCTGAGGAGTCCCATACTAGGACGAAACGGCCGTCCAGTGCTTCCAGGTTTTCAATGGTGGTCTAGCTTCAACTGACTCATGATTTCAATCTGTAACTTTTCTTTTCTCTAAAACATCAATTTCCTCCATTTTTTGTAGAATTATGAATGAGAAAACATTTGAAAAAAAAACAACACATTTTTGACAAATAATATTTAAAATTTCGCATAATTTTGATTGATTATTCATGAATCTGATAGGGAATTTTATAACTTAGTGATAATCTTACTTCTTTAATTAAAAACTTGTTTGTTTTAACTTAAACGTTCAGTTAACACAGAGATCAACTGATTATATATTAGTGGTTATAAATACATTGGTTTATAATTGATCAAAAAACACTAGTTAATAGATATTGAAATGATAATTAATACCAGATATGTATAGATAGATCCCATAATGAATCGATATAGGTTCAAGAATCACTGGAAACTAAAAAAGCTTTAAAGATCCGTTTCGTAATATGCTGAACTTCTTAGTTGTGTCTAGCCATAAACATAAAGGTGGTTGTGCTATGTATTTTTAAATAATGTACAATTCTTTAAAACCAGTGAACTGGATTTTAGTGGCTCATATTGTTATCTTCAATTTATCATTTAACATAATTGACAACATCTACTTTACTGTCAACATTATACAGGTTGGTTGATCATTCAATTAATTCATTTATTGTTATGAAATTATCGTTGGGATTTATAAATTGGGTGAATTATTTTGATAGTGTTACATTTTCTTAGTTGGATAGAATAATTGGCAAGATTTTGTTATCACTCTGAATGACATCATTCGAGCTTTCTTTATACTGGGGTGCTATCCTTCTGGAAGTTATTCGATGATGGGTACATGTATATTATTTATATAAGAGTCTGCTTCAAGCTAGTTTGGAATTAAAGAATTTTCAAAAAGCTTTTTAAATATAATGTCTGTTGTTAGATACTACTGGTTAAATTATAGAGTATTTTAAAGAGAATTCATTTAACCTTAATTCATCAGTTATCTACTAAGTAATCTAACCAACTGTTGTACTCTATAGAAATACATATATTTTCATTCATATTTAGAAATGTATAAACGGATGTTATTAAATGTAAAGATTGAACTGTATTACATATTTAACTGAAGGATAAAGCTTATGAGAAAATTTCATATACACAACAGATTATTTAAAAAATAGATGACAATGTAGCAACTATGTCATAATTTGATGGAAAACTACTATTTGGATGTAGATATGAATTTTTCAACCATATTATATCAAAAGGTAAAAATGTACTTTTCAAAATTGATGAAAAGTTCTAAAAAGAAGCTAGCGTAATACTGAAAATTCCCACACTAGGACAAAACGACCTTCCAGTGTTTTCAGGTTTTTCATGGTGGTCTAGCTTCATTTGACTCATGAACTCAACCAATAAGTTATTATAATATCTACAAAACTCCTTTCTTATAATAATCATCATATGCTCACTAGTGAAGATCTTCAATAGGTATTTTCGGCAGTTATAGTGAGAAGCAGTGACCACTGAACCTCAACCAGGTCTGTTATGAGATAGTAACTTATTGAAGACAGTAATGGACGGTGGCGCAACTTCGTGGATTGTTTGAAGTTAGACATTAACACAGTTGGATCTGGAGATTAAGCAATCACGCGCGGGACTGTAGGTCCTGTGTTCGAATCATGGGGTGGTGGGATTGTGGATGCGCACTGCTGAGGAGTCCCATACTGGAATGAGACATTCGTCCAGTGTTTCCAGGTTTTCCATGGTGATCTAGCTTTAATCGACTAATGAATTCAACTAATAAATTACCATAATAGCCATAAACGCCCTTTCTGAAAATAGAATATTATCAACATGTTGATATGGTGTGTTATATTTAAATTTGGATTCATTGTAAATTTTCAGTGAGTATGTTGTTTGACAACCAATCACTTTAAAATCTCTATAAATGTATTGACTAGAATTCAAGGACTGATTTGTAAACCATATCTAAGTTTTTATTTAGAATGAATTATTTCACTATCAATAGTCATTTGAACGGTACTTTATTTTCAATAGTGATTAAATATAAAAGATAAGTTTTCTTGTTTGTTACGTTTGCTTACATTTACTAGCTCATCTAAATCATACGATTAATGTACATAAGCTGGAGCCAGAATTTCATCTTTGACAACCTTGAAAAAGTACATTCTGTTTACATTCTATGAGGTTGATAATAAATTGGTTATGAGTTTGATATTCGAATATTTAATTGAGTTTCATAACTCATTATTTCGAAGTGACTTACAAACTTCAGCCAAATCTAAATAAATTTCTTACTTTTCAACTCAGAACAACAAAAGTTATGGTTATGTATTCGATAAAATCTGAACTGCATATTCAAACATCACATATCCTTACTCTATCCTTATCTGATGCTTAATCTAGTATTATTACTACTATTATTGTATTCATATCAGACACTTCTATATTTTTGAAAGTCTTTCGTCCATAGAATACTTTACGTGACCCTTTAGTATATTTTTATTTGGTAACTGTTTTCTATATTAGTTCATTTAATGGTTTCTACATTCTAATATCTAATTAGAAAGTACGAAAGCTTTGCATAAATTATTTCATTCTACATACATTACGATGCTACATTAATTTATCGATTGTACAGTTGTTACTAGATTGAGAATATCTTACAGACCTTATGTCATATTGTATATTAACCTGCCTTATTATCTTCGTGATTATTCAGTAATCATATATCATATCATATATCAAGGAATTACGTTCTTTTAAATCCATGACATTATTTAACAAACATGAATGTTCTTTACCAAACATACGAATACCAATATAAGTTAAACAAAAGGAATCAAAAATCTCATTCATTCTTTCAAATGAATTTTTTCACGAAAGATCACAACATTGTAGAATTCGCATCCATTCATATTCAATGATCTAGTATCTTTGTCGATTTTTGTTTCCATGCAATTAATGTAATACAAATAGGTAAGACCGTTTACTTACGAACCAAGTTTTTAACACAACGGATATTTTCTAAAGATTTTTATTTAAGTAATGTAAATATTTAGGTGTAAAATCAACCAGACATTGTTGAAGGATAAAGATTATTATTAACTTTCTGTAAATAATTGTTTACAAGTAGTATACATCAACTCTGAAAAGCATGTTCATCCAGCTGATGAGTCCTAAATGGGACGAAACATGGATCTTGAATTTCGCTGTTAACCACTAACCATCTTTGCTTAAAATAGTCATATTGCTGTATATTTTTTGATACATTACATTAATGCTTACAATCCATTTTGTTTTCCATGAATTAAAACGAAAAAATCACTCATTATAAAAAAAACAGAAATATCAGTTTAGATGTTGTGGAGATTGTTAAGTTTTTGATTGAAATAATGATTCAGTTGAAGCTAGACCACCATGGAAAACCTAGAAGCACTGAACGGCCGTTTCGTCCTAGTATGGGAGCTAATCCGTGTCAGGTAGAAATAGGTGTTTACCTCAGTACAACGGAAGATGATCGCGCAATTTTGTGGATTGGTTGAGGTTAGACTATAACATCATTGGGCGCTGGCTCAGTGGTCTAGTTGATTAGACGCCTGACGCGAGACTGATAGGTCCTGGGCTCGAATCTGGCTAGGCGGGGTCGTGGATGCGCACTGCTGTGGAGTTCCACAATAAGATGAAACGGTCGTCCAGTGCTTACAAGTTTTCTATGTTGGCCTACCTTCAATTGACTCATAATCTCATCTATTGAAATTACTACAATCTCTACAAAACCCCTTCTGATATTTTCTTTTGTTTTGTTTTTATCTTTCAAATGAATTAAATAACGATAAAATAAAGTTGAATATATAACAAAATGTATTATATCTGTTCATGAAAAGATGAATAAATTCAGATAAATGTACTGAAAACCAAAACAACATGTTACCAATATTTTTATTATGATCTTAATAGGATGATAAAAAAAAGAAATGATAAACATCTTGATGTGTGCACCTACACACACACATACATACACACTCGACTATAGAAGTACCCTCATGAATATAGTACACAATCAAATTAATACACTTGTATATAATAGAAAAAATGTAGGTTATTTTTAATTAAAATAATTATTGAAATATGTGTATAATAAAATAGAAGCGTGAAATAAAGGTAAAATGATTGGGAATAAGTTATGTAATAAAATGAATTTGATTATTGTATGCCTTTGTAAAAATC